TGGTGGGGAACACATGTCACCCATCCACTAGGTGTTGCTGGACTCAAACTCCCACCATCCATGACTATTTGCCATGTTGGCTGGGACTGATGCAAGCTGGAGTCCAGTAATACCTGGAGGGTCGTAAGTTCCCCATCCCTGACCCAGACTCCTCTTCGATCTCACTCCTATATGTGAAATTTGCTGACACTGCCTGCCTGCCAGGTCATCCAAGGCCACTTCTCAGGCAGTTTTGTGTCTGATGGGTCACTACTACCATTCTCTGTTGGCAGCTAAAGCACAAGACACCAGTTTCTACAGTTTCTTGACAGGTCTCTGCAAATAAAAGGCAATCTGCGCATGATCAGAGGCACTTTTGTCTTTTTGAAAGCTTGTTTATCTATTGCAAAGGAATTTCACACATGCTCTGAGGCATTCCATCTTAGATGCCAATATTTTTGTAAACAAAAGGTGGCTATCCCACACAGGTGACAAGTTTCCAGAAGTCAGGATGACTCTTTTGTCAACAGTATGTGCTGTTGGGAGAAGAAGGGGCTCACAAATCATATCTGGCATGCTTCTAGAAAGGACTGGATTCTGGAGTTTTCTGAGAGACCGTAATAATTAGCATGATTAACATTGCTCTTCGTTACTTCTCTAATAAATTAGTGAGCGCTTCAAATACCTGAACAATATTGATGTAGTTTCCTATATCCTATATAAGTTTTAGTAAGCTCTAGAAACCTGTGGGGCTAAACTGAAAATGGAAGATACCTGCTGCAGAATTTGGGTCATCATATACAATGCAAAACTCCGCTTATGCAAAACTGCAGAAAATCTGTTTATGCATCAGTTCCAGGAAAATTATGCTTACCTTGAGGTCACATTGCAAGATTTGCAGAAGCTATTGTTTTTCCTCCCTAGTCAAAACAGAACTTTCAAGGCAATACTGTGCTCTCATCAAGCGAGGCATGTAATACTTGGTAATGATGCACGTATTTTCCTCCCTAAACTGGCGCTGCTTGCCAGCAAGAACAACTTTGTGCAGATAAGGTGGCACTTTTTGTATTGCACAGACCATCTGTTCCAATCTGCCTTTCATTAACACTCATACTCACTTGTAAGCGGCATATCATTCAGTGATAGACAATCTTTCTTAACTACAATGGAACTCATTAAGGGAGCTCTGGCTAATGCAAACACCTTTCGGGAAGTATACATGTGCAGAAGAGTAATATTTTTGTACATTAAGCAGTGTCAAACCTCTGCACGTTCCTAACACAAACCTATATTTTCATCTTTTAGTATTTAAAAATAAAGCTGTCAGTCAAAGAAAGATCATTTACTTGTTCAGGCATCTCGCCTTTTAGGCTACAGTTCTATTTTTCACACACACTTTTATGGGAGTAAGCTCCATTTCATCACAGTGTTGCGTCAACATGCATAGGTTTGTACCGTTAATCAAGGTTTGAAGCCCTAATTTAAAGACATTCACACTTTAAAAGTCCTCACTTGGACACAATTCAATGACTACTAGCCATGATGGTTATGGTTTACCTTTTTGGAGAAAAGTACTAAGATGCATAAATATTGTTTTGGGGGGAAATATAAAATATTTTCAGAGGATAACATTGTTTTAAACTATATATCAACTATGCGGGGTTTGACCACAGTTCAATATAAATAGACTCTCTGCGCCCTTACTTCTGCTAAAAGACTGATATTAATTCACTTGAAAGATAATACCATGGTCCCCTTCAATCAATGAAGACATGACAACTCTGGCAACATACAACAGATTGCTTTTAGACACAGATTGTGTATGGATAAATGTAATTATATTTGGAATCTATTTATAAAAAGTATAATGTCTTGTTAATACTTTTACATTTAATGGAAAACTGCTGATTACTTATATACCCATATACTCTATTTTATCACAATTTCAATTCTTTGTTTCTTCTTTCTTTTCTTTCCCATTACTCTCTCACTGATTGAATACACACACATCCCTCCACTGTCAGAGGCAATATGCCTCTGAATGGCAGTTTCTGGGAATCACAAGTAGGTAAAGTGCTATTTCACATAGGTGCTGCTTGTAGGCTTCCCATGGGCAACTGGTTGGCCAAGAACAAGATGCTCTTGGAGTAGAAAGGTCTTTGGTCTGACCTCCTTATGTTCCCCTAATGTCTATGCAAGCAGCCTTTCAGCATTAAATCTGAAAATACAGTGGAAGCTCGGGTTGCGGACGGAGAAAGGTCCGCAACCCGCATCGTTCATAACCTGCAGCACTGCATCTGTGCATGCACGTGACACTATTTGGCGCTTCTGCGCATGCGCGAGCAGCGAAACCCGGAAGTAACCCTTTCTGGTACTTCTGGGTTTCCTGCGGTCCATAACCCGAAAACACATGACCTGAAGTGTCTGTAACCCGAGGTACCACTGTATGTTGTCAACATTGTACTAAACACCCAAAACAGTACTAAAACAAGACAGTTTGAATGATTCACACTGGAAATTTGAGTTAGCTTTATCTACGTTTTTGTAAACCACGCTTCTCATTGCATGTTGCATTGTACAGATTGTGACAGCAAGATCCTTTTAACTGGGGAGGCCAGCGTTTGAACAGCTAGTGATTATGCACACTAGTACAGCAGGACACAAAACTATTACACAGCATTAAAGTGGGCAAAGAGAAAAGGGAAAGAGCTGGAAACAATTAATCTACATGACATCTTCCCCAGCTCTGTTGGTGGGACTCTCTGTGACTGACATATAGAAAATTTGTCTGCATTAGCTGTTTTGCATTTGGTTTGCACCTGACTGTGCTGTTGATAACTGTTAATAGTCCATACCATGCTGTGTCCTTTCCACTGTATCAAAACTTTCTCTATACAAGTTATCCCCTATCAGATACCTTCATACAATGTCTCTCATGCATGTTTGGGTCTACATCTTAGAGCAGGAGTCCCCCACAAGGTGCCCAAGAAGTGTGTGTGTGTGTGTGTGTGTGTGTGTGTGTCACCAGATTTAATTCTGTGAAATGGGTATTTTATGGTGCCCACAAGAGTTTATTAGATGTACTCAACCATTCTTTCTCCACTTTTTCTTTTTTTTAACTCCACATGGACAAGTCAGCCCATACAACATCTCCTACTAGAAGACACCTAACTCCTTATAGTGGTGTAAACTAGAGTTCCCCGGGATTTTGGGGGGCAAGTCATACGCCTAAAATGAGCATTAAATGTATGCTGTAGGACAGAATGTTAAGAACCGATGTTCATATACAGTACATACATATAGGAAAATATTTCGTGCTTGTTTGCTTGTTTGTTTAAATCATAGCTTTATGGTGCTGAATTGGTTCATACCTGCCCAACTTAGTAATTAATTGTACCACAGCCCTGAAGGACAGGAAATCTTGTGAACGTGCTGTCTGTATCTGACATCAGATGTAGGAGGACGCCTACTTCTCAGATGGGCTTGGCATGTTTCTACTGCTGCACACGAATGATATTTCAGACTGTACTGGGCGTCAAAAGACAAAGTAGTTTCTTTTTTTTCAGGGTTCTTCTCTTTTCTCTGATCAGTGAAAATGGGTAGAACAGTAAAAAAATTACCATACTTTTTGCTCTATAAGACTCACTTTTTCCCTCCTAAAAAGTAGGGGGAAATGTGTGTGCATCTTAAGGAGAGAATGCAGGCTGCGCAGCTATCCCAGAAGCCAGAACAGCAAGAGGGATTGCTGCTTTCACTGCGCAGCGATCCCTCTTGATGTTCTGGCTTCTGAGATTCAGAATATTTTTTTTCTTGTTTTCCTCCTCCAAAAACTAGGTGCGTCTTGTGGTCTGGTGCATCTTATAGAGCGAAAAATATGGTGCTTAGCAGAGGTATAGGCCATAGGGAGGATTGTAGCTCAGTTGAAAAGCGTTTGTTGAGTCGGTAGAGCATGAGACTCTTTATCTCAGGGTCGTGGATTTGAGCTTCATATTGGGTGAAATATTCCTCCATTGCAGAGTGGGACTAGATGATGCTTCCAACTCTACAATTCTATGCCTATGTCTATGCTTTGAATGCAGAGGGTCCCAGGTTCACTCCCCAGCATCTTCAGGTGAGCATGAGAGAACACTGTCAAATCCTGGAGAGCCAACTGCCAGTCAGTGCAGGCAGTACTGAGCTAGATTAACCAATGGTCTGTCACCATATGAGGCAGCTTCATATGTTCCTATGATGGTTCCCATGGGATAAAAGAGAAAAGGTGGCCTGTGAATCTCTGGATATTTTTAAGACTAAACCTCACATGGGAAAGTATAGGCAGAACATTGATGTTCTTTTAAAAATATATATACAGTACTACATTTTCTTTATAATTACTGCCAGAATCAGAGTATAAAGAAGTCTGAAGTGTAGAAAAGCCGCCAGAAGCTCATTTTTATTTTAGGGAAACCAGTGTGAATTTTGCATTAGGCGTTTTAAAAAAAGAGTTGAAAACAACCCCACACGCACAAGCTTTTGTTTTATAAGTTGAAGCATTCATTCGAAGCTAGGTGGGGACCTTTTAAAAACACTACAAGGAGCCGGATATACACGGGCTTGAGCCATTAAAATGTTATTAAAGGCAGCAGGGTCCAATTTAGTTCTCAACAAAATGCCTGACACAGCTGGGCAGCGGCGGTTCAGTGGAGTCAAGCAAAAAAGGTTGGGAAAAGTGATCCCTTATTACTGCACTGTGTGCTGATTCAGGTGTTACTCGTAGGCGTGACAGGTTGATTAATCTTACATAAATTGGACTTTTGTCACCTTATGCTGACAGATCAACGATTAGAATATGTCCCCAGAGGGACTTACTATCCAGTGTGTATGTTTACAATTGTAGGCCTAATTCCCATTTTCTTCCTGTTTCTACGGTGGGTCTGCACCAATGTCTAGCGTTGCATTTTGTCCCAGTAGAATCATAGAAACATACGTGTTGGAAGGGACCCTGTGGATCATCTAGTCCAACACCCTGTAATGCAGGAATATGCACCCATATGGGGATCAAACCCATGACCTTGGCATTGTCAGCACTATGCTATAACCAGCTGAGCTAACCAGCTACCTAAGCATTCCAGCCCTGGTCTCTACACGTTTTCTCTACACCTCTTGGCCAAGAGCTATTTTTTTGAGATGTTAGTTCTTTGGAAAATAAAACCATACATCTTATGTTAGCACAGAGATAAAGGGTTGTATCTGATTATTCCTATGGAGGAAAGTCAAGTGTTGAGAACAATGTTGTGATAGCCATGAGTATCAACAGGATTATCCTAAGGGAGAGCAAATAATGCCCCCTCTTCCTGTACTCAAGGGACACAGTGACATTTTTCTGAGACACAAGTCAGATTCATAGGGGAAGAGTGGGAACAGTTTCTTGGTTAGGAGGAGAGAAAGCTTCCTCACCTTGAGGCCATGTTCATGTTTGGAGAAACGGTCTGAGGTGATTTGAAAAGCCGGCCTAATTTGTAAGTAGGCGCTCTCCCCTCCCAATTATTAAATAATGAGCAGTAATGAACTTTATCTCTTCATCTTATAAAGGTGTGGTGATCTCTAACTAACTTTACACCCATCCATCGCTTACAAGAACTGTTGTGTGTGAAGACTAGTCCTGAGTCTATCTGATCCTAGCTGTACAAAGCAGGTGTTGTTTGAATAGCGATAAACCTGAATTAGAATCTTAGGGCTTATCCACACTTACCTTTCCTCCAAACCACATCCTGCATTTCCAAGCACTCTGTTTTTCACTCTAGAGCTTTCCCTGCGAAAACCTGCTCAGGTTCTCCGCAGATTGCCATTTGCTCCGATTCAAGAAGCAAATGGCAATCTGCAGAGAACCTGAATTGCCATGCGTTGCGGTTTGAACAGGGGATTTTTAGTGGGGGGGACGGGACTCTGGGGTTAAAAGAAAGAGTGCTGAGACACAAAGCTTTACTGTGTGGACCTGTGCCTGGGATAACTGAGGGAATGTACAAGTTGGGTACTTCTTGGAACATATTCTGTAGCAAGCAGAGGCAAGGCATATCTATGCTACTGGAGAAAGTTCTAGCTACACCTCATTTAGCCAATCCCCAAGCCTCTTCTTGCCTGCCTTTCACAGAGGCTGATACTGGGAATTTCTGTTCTTCACTGGGAATGAAGAGGCCTTTGTGGTAACATGTAGGCTGCCTGACCCCTCACTCCCACCCCCCAGTAATACCTTATACATGTCAAACAGGGATGGGGAATTTGTGGCCCTCCAGATGCTGTTAAGACTACAACTCCCATAATCTCTGACCATTTGCCATAATGGCAGTGGCTGATGGGAACTCGAGTCCAACAATGTCTGAAGAATCATAGGTTTCCCACCCCTGATCTAAATGAATACTCCTGGCAAAATATTTTTCTGCACAAAATTAGTATCCTAATTATTTCAGTAAGGCAAATAGATTCAAGCTAAATATAAATCAATAGATAAGGTCTTAAACACAGTACAGTAATGTGTCTTCTTGGCAGGACATTCCTCCAGGCTCTGATAACGTGAAAAGGTAGTACATTATGGAGTATAACGAATGCACCCAGCTTTGGTTGTTGACAGCAAGGGAAAAGAAACTGGGCCCAAGTAGAAAGCTACATTGCTCACAGGATTTCTGAAATCCTGAATAAATTGGATGCAAGAATTACAGTAGACCCAAACAGCCTAACATTGTATAGCCTGCCAACAATTGCACAGGAGATCACCTAAGGTCTAACTGGCCCTGGCAGGTTTGCTGGAGTTATACTTTCACATGGATAAACTGTTCCTGAACAATTTCTACAAAGCAAGCTTTCATTTACCATCATGCCTTATGCCAACTAACATATGTGAAACCACTAAAATTTCAAAATAATGCTCTGTGGTCTCTGTCATGATGTCTTTTAAGGAACCACGGTAGAAAGCAGGAGAGGTGAGAAGTAATCTGGAGGCCCAACCTCCGTCTCTAAGAGGTCTCTAAGAGAAAGGCGAGAGAACATCTCCTGCCAATTTCATCAGGCCTCTATTTTGTTTGTTTGTTTAATTAGTTGTATACTGCAATTTCATTTTTAAAATATCAAAGTGGTTTACAATAATTATACATGCACACACACTAAAACCCACATAAAATTAAAAACCTAGGATCTGTGGCAATTCAGGCAAGGAGCCACTGTGTCTTTGTCCTGTTCATCAACTTAAGAATTCACAAGCGAACTACCCAAAAGCACATGAGCACTGTCTGCTCCATCACTCAATTTCTCTTATGTGGGGAGCTTGACCATGGAGAAATAATACTGCAATTTGTAGAATTAGCTGGGAACATTTACCAGTCTTGCCTGCTAGCTGTTCTGCTTTATTGGGAACAGCTCCAATTAAAAATCATGAGGGCCTTGCACCAAAAGATATTCTGGCACCCCTTACCTCCAACATGCCATACACTTGAGAGAAACAGGGTCAAATACATTATCGCTGCTCCCAACTTGCATATGTTCATGTTAGTGTCAGCAAGGGGCTTTACAAATTGAGCTGTACATATAGCGCACATGTGCCTGGAAAAGCAGGATGCCTGGTTGCATGGATTACATCTCAAGCTTTTAATAAAGATTTTCAGTTATTTCTTGGGACACATGAGCCCTGCTTAATGGTACAGAGGCTGCATATGCACTTTACATTTAAAGTACATTCCCACCCCCACAGAATCCTGGAAACTGTAGTTTACTCCTCACAGAGCTACAGTGACAACCCTTAACAAACGACAGTCCTAGAGCAGGGTGTCCTTTAAATGTATGATGTGTACCTGGTCTAAACAGAAAGCTTAGCTAAGTGCTGTGAAGTTAACTTGGGGAAGAAGGAAGGAGCAGACAGGTGGGTGGGAGGAGTTAGAGGGATAGAAGGGAGACTATTGAATGGATCTGCCCTGTTTTAAAACTCAGCAACATGTTTAAACAATGTTCTTATTTTCCCCTATACTTTGTTGTTCATCAGCCAATCCATTCTCCCCACTTCACTAATTTAACACCACATGAAACATGAATGTCAAAGGAGAAGTGGGAATACTGGGCATGTACATTATCAGTGCTTGCCTAACACAAAGGTGGTGTGTTCAGTTTTTATCAAGTAGGTACAGTACATACAGATAATCCACATCATAAATATTCAGTCATCCAAATCCTATGTTATTCATGATGATAAAATTTGCACAAATCACTTTCCGCCCATTCATCCTATAGCCATGAAATCAAGGTAATCTTGAGTAAATAACACTCTCCTCATGTCACTGAACATGCCATTTAGTTTTTTTAGAAGTTACTAGAGACATTGCACCCTAATCCTGAATACATTAACTAAATACCTTGACTGCCTCGGATTCATTAACACTGGAGTGTGTGTGTGTGTGTGTGTGTGTGTGTATCAAATTGTTACTCCCAAATAAGTGAGTACTGTACTGTAATGGCATTGTAGCCACAGGCACCCAGACATACATACAAATCCATATTCCTCGTATATCCATAAATTCCGAACTTTGGAAGATTTCTGACTGCATCAATGATCAAAATTAAGCATCTGGACCCGAATACACCACTGCAAGCTAAGTCTGCTTCGGTCCTTTAAAGCCAGTTTTCGGTTTGTTGGTTTGTTTTTTAAATAAAACTTGTATGTAAAGTTTCAGCACCCGCACAACACACCTTCCCTCGAGCCCTGCTAACCGAGCACACGAAGACTTGCTTTCCAGTGAGCGCCCTCGGCCTTTCAGTTTTTATCCATCTCCGCTGTAGTTGCAGCAGCAGCAGCAGCAGCACAAGCACACTATTGCAACAGAACTTTTAAAAAGCTCTACGCGTTTGGGTGCAAAAGCACCCGGCTGATGCAGCTTGATCGCCACACTCAAACCACGACTCGTGCCACCGTCAGCCCATTTCGCCTTTAAACGGCTGCAACACACTTCCAGAGAATAGGAGAAAAGCAAAAAAAAAGTTAGAGGTGGGCAAACACCACAGTCCTCTCTTACCTGTCTGTGGAGAAGGCAGGGAAAACCCCAGGCACCTGCAAGTTCCTCACAGCAATACGGAACGGATCCCGAATTATTTCCTCCCCAGCAGCATATCAATAAAAGTTACTGTTTCAGCCTCTCCTCTCCCCCGCAAGCCCTAAACCACCAGCTAAGCTTTCGGGTCCTGTGACTAATATTTACCCTTCCTAAGCCCGGGCGAAGTGCAGTCGGTATCTCGAGCTTTTTAAATGGATTCTGAGTACGGAGTGCACCTCGCTGTTTCCAGCAGCCAGTCTCCTCCGCCAATCAGCGGCCTCGGAGCCGACCTCTCCTCCCTCTTTCGCTCCCAGTCCTGCCTCCCTCGCCTCGCTCCACCGTAGGCGGCGGCAGGACTGGGAACGGAGTGTGAAAGCACGAAACGAGCACGCTTCTCAATTTTGTTGTCCTCCCTCTGCCATCTTAAGACTTGCAGCCTTCTTTCCTTCAGGAATCATAGACCCAGTTCCCGTAATTTGTTGGCATAGTAACCACCCCTGGGTTGTTTTGGTTCCCCCCCTTCTTTTTTTTGTATGAACACGATGGAAAGGAAGAACGCCTCGGCCTGTAGCAGTCTGTAGCTACATGCAAAACATAATGAAATAAAAGGCACAATTCTGAGAACTGCAGGAGGCTAGGCCATGCCAACCCTCCAATTATTTTCTGTGGGGACAAGGGATCTTGAGGTGTCTTTCACATTCTCCTCCGCCCCAGCCTAATGAGGGGACAGAGGAGACAGACATAGAGAACTCCATATCCCTATCCGGGAATCGGAGAGGCCATTACTTCCCCAAATTCCAGAATCATGCCAAATACATTTATTTTAATTATTTTTGCCTTTCTTTACAGGCACACCTTACCACTTCAGAATACCAGTACCAATTGTATTGTTTATAGGCCACCACAACCCAAAACTTGGAAGTTGGCAGAACATCCAGCACAATTATAACGTCAATACTCCCCTTACCAATTTTTATTTTCCTCATGAGGGGAAGGGTAGGTTCTAAGAAATATTAATAATCCTCCCACAGGGAAACTCTGGGCT